AAATCATTTCTAAAGGGAAGAAAAAGTTTCTGTCCAACTTAGAATGCTATAAGAAATTCTATTAGCAGCAGTTATCAAAGACTAATAAAGCACGATTACCATTTACTTAGTGCTAAGCACACGTAGAACATGGTTCTAGGCACTTGATGTTGAGTAATGCACTTGGTCCTTACAATAAGATGCTAAAGTAGGTATGACCATCACCTCCACTTCACAGAAAAAGAAAGAGGGCCACAGAGAATTGAAATGATCTTGGCCAAGATAACATGACTGCCTAAGAGGGGGCTAGAACCTAGCCAGTGTACCTCAGAGCCTGTGCTCTTGACCATTGTGCAAGACTATTTCTCTGTAACCCAGGGCTGGGGGCTGAAATCCTTTAAAGCCGAGCTTGTTTCCTTTGCTATGAAATGGGAATAACAACATTAGATTAAATTCCTGGCATACAGTAGGCCCTCCAGCTCCAACTTCCTCTCCCAACAGTAGTTATCCTTCTAGAATAAAATCAAGTGGTATCTTGACACCACTCTAAATCTAAAGTGGATTAAGTTGCCTTTCAAGTATGCTACTGTTGTACTGCACTGTGAGACAGTATGCACATTTTGTCTGGACTTGTGTTCTACCACAACATTCAAGTTCCTACTCTTTGAGTTTCTTTCATAGAACAGCTTTTACCAGGCTATTATCCTTATTCAGGGGCACAATGAATTCTGGGCATTTGTTCATACTTGGAGCATCAACATTCCCAAGGGAACTAGTTTGCATCTGTTCTGCTTGGAGCCCCACGTTGGCCTTTGATGGATCCTCTGCAATGGCAAAGTCAGTGTCTGAGTTTACAAGCTGCAAGGCCCCTCGCTGCCTCTCTGGTCAGCATACCAACTGCAGCAGGCTGGCTCAGGTAGAGCAAGGACGCCGAAGACAGATTTGTGGGGAAGGCTGGTTCTGGGCTTTTCTCTTGAATTGAACTGCATGTATTAAAGGAATAGAGAAGAGGAAACAAAATACCATGTGATTACGAGCCTATTCGATTTGATCATATAAAAGTCCCACAAAATAGTTTCTTTCATTCTAAGAATGACATTGCAAGGTTGCTTCACAAAGAGTTGATTAAAGCATTTTCTTCAGACAAATATATACTAGTACAATATGGACAGAAATAATATCAAAGACAGGGTAAAATTCTAGATAAATAGATGAGGTAATACGCTGGATATTGTTTAGTAGGAAATGTTGGGAGGAATGGGTTTATTTCCACAAGCGTCATCTAAGTATCACTACTATAACTATGGCTGAATATTTAACCTGGTTCTAAAAATGCCTTCTATTTCCCCTGGGAGCTATGGTCCAGTGTTTGCTAACTCAGTGTTTGCAATGACTTTACAGAAAAAAAAACAATGCAAACACTAAGATTTGACTATATATGTGGTATATCACTACATATACATTCTCCCCCACCTATATATCCACATATACACAAACACATGTATAAGCATATATTTTATTATACAAATGAAGTTATACATGTAACTTCATATTGCATTTTTACTTCTTGACATAGGCATTTTTCATACTGTAAATTAAAAAAATAAAATAATTTTGGAATAATCGTAGATTTAAAGATTTAAAGAAATGTTGTAAGATAATAGAATTCTCATATACTCCTCACCCAATTTCTTCTGTTATCGTGGCACACAGCTCTCCTTTGTTAAAACCAATAAGCCAACATTTGTTACAGTAACGAACCTCCAGCCCTCTTCTGGATCTCACCAGTTTTCCACGACGCCCTTTACCTGCTCCAGGATCCAACTGTGGACTCCATGTTGCATTTAGTTGCCATGTCTCCTTGCTTTTCTCATCTGTGAATTTCTTAGTCTTCCCTAGTTTCCCAAGACCTTGTCAATTTGGAGGTGTACTGGCCAGGTATTTTGCAGAACGTCCCTCAATTTGGTTTCTGGTATTTTCCTCATGACTAGACTGTCAGTGTTGGTTTTGGGGAAGAGTACCACAGAGGTGAAGGGCCCTTCTCATCACGATACCACAAGTTACTGCTAGTGATGATCACTGGTCGAGGTGGTATCTGCTGGGTTTCTCCAATCTTACCATGGACTCTAATGACTACACCATTTAACCCAGGGGATGTATGCTGGAATATAACAATTCCCTGGTTACACACTGAAGATATTTCCTATTTTATATTACAACCAAACAGGAATTAGGGGTGCCCATACACAAAAAGTTGTTTCCAGATGTGTGTACATTGCTACCACATGAGAGCCCAAATTACTGTGGATGCATAAATGATTTAAAAAAACCTTTCTTTTCTCCGTGAGAATTTGAATTTTGGCTAACTTTTTAGTCGTTCTCCCATGAACACTGAAAAGGTGAGTGTCACTATCACCACTGTTCATGGTAAAAGAACCTCCTTGGTCACTGCATTGAGACTGGGAGAGTCAATCCTGGGGAACGAACAGCTTCAGACTTCTCACAATGATCTGTCCCTCATGGGCCCGGGGGCTGGATCCAGAGAGCACTGCAGGAGCCACTGACTTCTGTGGAGAAAAGCCCTCTAAGCTAGGGGAGCCTTAGGACTTGGGTCCTAAGTGAGTCTCGCTTCTTCGCAACTTAATTGTCTCATGAGGGTCAAAGACAGCAGTTTCTTGGACAGTATTGCCCTGCTGGCAACTGTGATTTCTGTCCTATTTATTTCTAGACTAATCCTGTGCCAAGTGTGGCTTATGGGAGTCATGAGTCAAAAATTTAGTTAAACATAGGAAGATACCTAGTGGGCAGTAACAGACTGTACCCATTGGGTAGAATTTAAAATCAAAAGGCAAAAAGCTATTTAATTTGCATTAATTTTATAATTAGTGAGTTAACTCTTTTCCACATTTTTATTTTTTCTTTTGTAAATTCTGCTCATGTGCTTTATCCAATCATTTACTTACTGGTGTCTTATTTTAAGAAGAGGTTTTTGACAAGAGGCAGTACAACATAGCAATGAGAGCAAGGGTTCTAAAATCAGAGATATGGGCTCAAATTCCAGTCCTGCAAATTAGAGGCTATATGACTTTAAGTTTTATTTAGTCTTCTGGTCCTAGTTTCCCTCAGCTACAATGGTGGGAAAGAATAGTTACTACACCTGAAGTTTTTGTAAGGGATAATAAAAGGGAACAGTACATGACAAACTTAACTGCTATACTGGAATGTAAGAAACACTCAAAAGATTATAGCTGCTTTTAGTGCCTATTATATTTACCGGACTATTCAAATATGATGGAGGTTTACTTCTACAAAGCATTAATATATACCAAATCTGTATTTTACGCCAATAAAAGGTTTAACCATCCTGTCATCCTCCTTTTAAAAGGCTATTGACTTTCTTAATTATAATTGGTATAAATAATGAAAATGGGTATAAGGAAATAGGGTTTGCTCGGTTCCACAACAGTCTTTATGTGTCAGGGTCTTTGGCTGCTAAGAGTATCTGCAGTTCTGCTCCCAAAACAGGTGGAAGTCAGTCTCAAAAACTGTTCCCACAGGGATTCTCTTGGCAACCCAGCTGCCTGTTTCAGGCCCTGATGTTTAGGTAAATCATTATGTTTTTATCTACAGAAAGTACCTCGTGACTTAGAGCTGTGAGTCAATAAAAACGTTCAGTCTTTAAGAGTTGGGATTTGGTATTCCATTACATCCTGTAAGTAAAGCTGGAATGAAAACTGAGAGTGACAGAACCAGGTGCTCTCCCAATACCTGGACTGTTTGTCTTTTGGGGGTCCCACCAGGTCTTTTCCTCTGGCATCTACAGTCACATGGGTGTGCTGTTTCACTACCACATTTTCTGAAACACATGGAAAATTAGAAACAGACATTATTATGCCCACACGTGTACACATATATGCACTATTTTATATGGCATAACGTCCAGAATTCGTTTTTACACTGACTTTCATTACAAATTCACAATAGTGTTCCATGGTGAAATGTGCTATAATATTTAAGAATTATCATGTATATAAATGTTAAATCACTGTGTCGTACACCTGAAACTAATGTAATACTGTGTGTCAACTACCCTTCAATAAAAAATAATTATCTGAAAAAAAAAAAAACCCAAAAAAAAAAACCTTTCTTTTCTCCATGAGAATTTGAATTTTGGCTAACTTTCTAGTCGTTCTCCCATGAACACTGAAAAGGTGAGAGTCACTATCACCACTGCTCATGTAAAAAGAACCCCCTTGGTCACTGCATTGAGACTGGGAGAGTCAGTCCTGGGGAACTAACAGCTTCAGACTTAAGGTATGATGGGTGTCTCACAATGATCTGTCCCTCATGGGGCCCGGGGGCTAAATCCAGAGAGCACTGCAAGAGCCACTGACTTCTGTGGAAAAGAGGCTTCTAAGCTAGGGGAGCCTTAGGACTTGGGTCTTGAGTGAGTCTCGCTTCCTTGCAACTTAATTGTCTCATGAGGGTCAAAAACAACAGTTTCTTGGACAGTATTGCCCTGCTGGCAACTGTGATTTTTGTCCTATTTATTTCTAGACTAATCCTGTGCCAAGTGTGGCTTATGGGAGTCATGAGTCAAAAATTTAGTTAAACATAGGAAGATACCTAGTGGGTAGTAACAGACTGTACCCATTGGGTAGAATTTAAAATCAAGAGGCAAAAAGCTATTTAATTTGCATTAATTTTATAATTAGTGAGTTAACTATTTTCCACATTTTTATTTTTTCTTTTGTAAATTCTGCTCATGTGCTTTATCCAACCATTTACTTACTGGTGTCTTATTTTAAGAAGAGGTTTTTGACAAGAGGCAGTACAGCATAGCAATGAGAGCAAGGGTCCTAAAATCAGAGATATGGGTTCAAATTCCAGTACTACAAATTAGAGGCTGTATGACTTTAAGTTTTATTTAGTCTTCTAGTCCTAGTTTCCCTCAGCTACAATGGTGGGAAAGAATAGTTACTACAACTGAAGTTTTTGTAAGGGATAATAAAAGGGAACAGTACATGACAATTTTAACTGCTATACTGGAATGTAAGAAACACTCAAAAGATTATAGCTGCTTTTAGTGTCTATTATATTTACTGGACTATTCAAATATGATGGAGGTTTACTTCTACAAAGCATTAATATATACCAAATCTGTATTTTACACCAATAAAAAGTTTAACCATCCTGTCATCCTCCTCTTAAAAGGCTATTGGTTTTCTTAATTATAATTGGTATAAATAGTGAAAATGGATATAAGGAAATTGGGTTTGCTCAGTTCCACAATAGTCTTTATGTGTCAGGGTCTTTGGCTGCCAAGAGTATCTGCAGTTCTGCTCCCAAAACAGGTGGAAGACAGTCTCAAAAACTGTTCCCACAGGGATTCTCTTGACAACCCAGCTGCCTGTTTCAGGCCCTGATGTTTAGGTTAATCATGTTTTTATCTACAGAAAGTACCTCCTGACTTAGAGCTGTGAGTCAATAAAAACGTTTAGTCTTTAAGAGTTGGGATTTGGTATTCCATTACATCCTGTAAGAAAAGCTAGAATGAAAACTGAGAGTGACAGAACCATGTGCTCTCCCAATACCTGGACTGTTTGTCTTTTGGGGGTCCCACCAGGTCTTTTCCTCTGGCATCCACAGTCACATGGGTGTGCTGTTTCACTACCACATTTTCTGAAACACATGGAAAATTAGAGACAGACATTATTATGCCCGCACGTGTACACATACATACACTATTTTATATGGCATAAAGTCCAGAATTCGTTTTTACACTGACTTTCATTACAAATTCACAATAGTGTTCCATGGTGAAATGTGCTATAATATTTTCTAAATAGGGAGAAAAAATTGCTAAACATTTTTTACTGCTAATATATGTGAGCAATTCAACTTTATCCATCTAATTAATATAATCCTCCAAGAGAAGAGTCCAAGGAGTGGCGGGTCCACTGAGGGCAATGACCACAGCACGGGGGTCGCTGGTGGTAGGGCACACCCCGCCTTCGAGGAGCCTGCTGACAAGGGCGTGGGGAGAGGCGGCGATGCTTCTGGAGGGCGGGGATGTTGGTGTATTTCGGTCTCATCTGCTTTATCCAGTCAGCACTTGACTGGATGAACTGATTCAGAGTGTTTATCTCAGGAAGTTACCTAACACTACCTATCATCACTCACTTTAACTTAAAAAAGAAGAAAGGAAACAACACCCATCTATGGATAAAAACTAGATAGGCAGAAATATAGAGTATCCCTCTATATAGCCAAGTATTACAAGGGATTAAATTTTATCAGATATTGCTTCACCAAACAGGTGCTACTTTGGTACTAGCACATTAGCTTCTGTTTAAACAACCTAAGTGACAAATATTCTAATATTGACTTTGTGAAAGACTCCTGACTGATTAAAGTTTTCCCAAATGGAAAAAGCTTAAAACATTTTTTTATTAAAGTTGCAAGCTTGTGATGGCATTTGTCCAAGTTTCAACTGAACTCTCCTTTAAAATTCAGAAAAGAAATATACAAGAAATATGCCATATTGGGTATAGTCTAAGAAAAAGTTAAAAACGTTTAGGGCTACAGGCTCAGACTTCACATTATAATATACTTCCAACTAGGGGAGTGAAATTGTTTGGCAGGTCTTTCACTGTTGTTTGGTGAACAAGTGCTAGTTTATTAAAAAAACTATCAGCAGTGATAGAGTTTGGCTAGTAAATTCCTCATCAAAATGGTAAAGTGGTCCCAAATCCCACTGCATATATTTTGTAGGTTGGTACCTAATAGGTAAGAATTACCTGTGCTCAATGACAACATTATATATTAAGGTTCAGTTGATATTTATGAAGATTTTTGATATAGGAGTGTTACATTATAGCAGTAAATAAGGAACATTTGTGAGTTTTGTAATTACTTTCTTAAAGTCAGATCACAGATGACTTTCTTAAAGTCATATACATATGATTTTCTGAGAACAGTGCTTGGCTACATCTCTCAAAAATTTGTAGACCTATATCAAAGACTAAAGTTTGCTATTTATTACTCTTATCAAATTATGAAATATAAATGTTCATTATTGTCAGTATCCAAATAATTTAATGTGTCCATAGAGGCTATTTTGTTAGTTGTAAAAATTAATAAACCTATACAACCCTATACAGATGGGTTGGACTTTTCAAATGCTTCTATCAGCTTTTCTCCTGTTCTACTGACATTCTAGTTAATAAATTTTTAAGAATGCACAACTTTATGAAGACAGTATGCCAAAAGAAAAATACATTGGTAATAATACAATGAATAGATTTTAAGTTTCCTCTTTATGATCTTCAAACTTTCCATTTAGAATTTGCAAGAAGAAATCCATTAATACTGAAATAAATGAAATTGGCAGAAGACAAGGCAGTAAAATAGTATAACACACACCTTTATCTTCTAGGGCATGCACTGAGTCCACTGGGAGTTTGTGGAAAGGTGTAGATGCAAGCTGTGCAGCAGATGTAAAGTCTCCTGGGCTTTTAGGAGTGGGTGCCAGCGTTTTGTTGCAGCGGACACCCCATATGGTTGAATCATCTGAAAATTCCTCAGCATGAGGTACTTCCTACAACAAAAGATGAATTGAAAAAAAGCAGCATTCTCCCTGTTTGTCCATGAAATTTAATTCACTAATACTTTCTGAGATATAAAAAATGAGGAATTAAACACAAACTAGATGTAATCCAAAGAATACGGTGGTTTTGTCTTTTTCTAGAACTGGGACACTTCATCTTTAACACGTCTCAGCACAGCCACACTGTACACAAGGGTCACACTTTCATTTCTCAATTTTTCTTTTTTTAATTTGAAAAGTCTAGATCTGCAGATGAGATACAAAGATAGTCCAGAGTTCCCATGTTCATCCAACTTCCTCTAATGTTATTATCTTAGAGAAACCCTGGTACCTTTGTAAAAACTAAACAATACTAATAATTGTATGTTATTTGGATTTCATCATTTTTCCATTAATATCCCTTTTCTGGTCCAGGGTCCAATCCAGGAGACCACACTGCACTTAGCTGACATGTCCCATTGGTCTCTTCTCATCTATGCCAGTCCATTGGTCTCTCCTGGTTTTTCTCACACTGCCTCTGTTGAATACTGGTCAGGAACTGTGTAGCATGTCCCTCCAATTTGGGTTTACCTGATGTTTTCTCATATTTAGACTGGGGTTATAGATTTTTGGGAAGAATATTGGTAAAGTGTCCTTTCTTACTATATCTTATTAGAGGACACATGATATCAACACAACTTAGTACTGGTGAGGTTGACCTGAAGGGGGATTCTGCTAGTTTTTCCACCATAAGGTACTATTTTTCCCTCTTCCTACAGGATTTGTTAGAATCAAGTCACTAAGTCTAGCTTATACCCAAAGGGAGGTAAATTAAGATCCACCTCCTGAGGGAAGAATATCAAAGAATTTGTGGACAAGTGTTAAAACAACAGTAATTAATAATTTGGGTGATCTGCTTGGATGCTATAAGAATAATTTTCCTTCCTAAGGTTTCACTCACTAATTTCAGTATTCATCTGTAGATCGTGCCTGCAGCAATGATTACTGTGGCATTCTCAGTTTTTCTATTCTCATGGCTATTTCTATTGCCACTCATTCCTTCTGCATTTCTTAGTAGGTATTCATCTGTAAAGATGTTTTGTCCCTTCTCCCTCATTTGTTCATATCAACATGGATATTTATTTTATTTCTTGGGTGATAAAACAATATTGCCTTATTCCACTTATTTTCTTATTCAAACTGTTCCAGGGTTGGCCGTTGGCTTATTCAGGTTGACACCTGGTTCTTTTACTATGTCCCATCTTTTTTTGTAAAGCGCTTCCTTATATTCTAGCTCTATAGGATGCTCCAGGCTCATCTTGTATTTTTGCTGCCCCACCCCGACAATCAGCTGTTTCCCAAGAATGACAATGGTCAAGTTTCAGAGTTTGTACATAGACTTAAACTGCTGAGTCAGAATAGCACTTAGAAAATTTTAACTGCGCATAACATGCCACCCATGGTGTTTACATAGACTGCAAAGTCTTCATAAATCTACCATATTTCTACCAATGCTGGAGGAAAACTGGCTGGTGGTTCCTTCAGGTGGACACAGGATAAGGCAATTGGTCTATGCCTAGGGCCGGGATACATGGACAATTCATCATGATTTTTTCAGTCAAAGCACAGCTAGTTGAACAGTTCAGTAAAAGGCACCTATGAATAATGCCACTATATTTGACATTCAGTCCACTGTTTGGGAAATTATTAAGGACAAAAAGTTCATCAAAAGGAATAGAGAGCTAGGTGATAATTTATTGAAAAGAATCCACTGTGTAATTAATACCACGAAACAGGTATTAGCCCAGTTTTTTAGTACTGACACACCACAGCCAGAGGGCCAGGCAGGGGTAAATGAAGGGAAAAGTACACCATGCAGTAACACCCAGAGCTGGACTCGATGACTAATGTAACAGAGGAATGCTGTGGGCTAGCAAACAGGTGACACTCATCTCCTGAGGTATGCTAATGATGGAACACTCCAGTTTAATTCAAATTTGCCAAGGTTTCTAATATTCCACTGTAGGACTTGCTTCTTAGGTCTAGGAAAAATGTATATCCCCCAGTCTAAAGAGAAGATTCCTTGAGGGCAGGGATCATATCAAATTGATTTTTTAGTCTCCAAATCTATCACAGTGTGGTGCTTAATAGACACTTGAACAGCTGCAGAATAATGTTCCAAAAAAACACACTCTTCATATCACACTGCATTCATTGTTCAGCATAGTTTTATATACATCATCTAATTCGATTGACAAAATCATTCGGTAAAATGAAGAAGAAAGGGATGTAAGACCCATTTCATGAATGAAGCAGAGATTTACTTACATTTGGTCTTGAAGGAAATCTGCTTACAGAGCGTTCTCCAAAGGTCCTTGCTCCTGTAGGTTTAGGCTGTGGTAATCTAAGGAAAGATTTGCAAATTTACAAATAGTAAAATATGCTAAGGAATAAGTACCAACACTTAAGTAAGGGTGTTAGAAACATTCTCCACTTATTCTTTTTAACAAGTTTATACTTATATACATATCCCTTTTGCAACAGTTGTAGGAAAACTGAGTACAAACTGAATTAACTTGCCTATGTATATAAAAACAGATTATATACTACTCTTTACGTTATTATATGTTACTAAGGGAGAGAGGGAAATACAGAAATTTCCAGTACATGAGTTGTAAGTTCGAGGAACAAAAAGAGTTAGGGCCACAGTCAAAGAATGTCATGGATGCCACACATTCTATATTTCTTTTTTCCAATCTTTGGTCTAGCTATGGAATTTGTCTCTGAGAGCTGGTCAGACCATCTCCTTCCTGCCTCCATATGAATTTCTTCTACACCATTACACTGTCAATTCACACTGAAAATTTCAACAGCTACCATACTCTACCCCCAGACATGGCTCTCTAATGTAGTGCCCCTCAGCTTAAAACATATTCTCTCTGCAGCATTACCTAACGTAAGCCACTCCTTTTTCCACTTGATCAGTCCTGCAAATATAAACAGCATGCATGGGTAACTATACAGGTCAATTCATTCACACCCAATACAATTTCAAATCTACAGAATTCTCAGTTCTTGAATAATTTATAACCGTGCTGCTTTCCTTTTCAACACATGCTTTTGCTATGGGAGGCCTGTTTTCTTATAACTTCCACGTAACACTGCAGATCCAGAGAACCTTAGCAACAATCTGGTCATGTGGCTGAAAGGCTCCTCAGGGGCCGAGCTGGCACTGGGACCCAGGCCATTTGATCAACAGGTCACATTCTCCCATCACCTTGCATCCTACAGGAACCTCTATAGCATCCCATGTCACTGTGCCAACATGTATCTTCCTCAATACTATTTTAACTATATGCTTCTTTACCCATAATTTTCTTTGTTTCCATCTTCAAACACAGGAAAAGCAGATGACAAAGAAGAGATAATCTTATTAACTCCCCAAGCTCCAGAAGACGTTGCGTTTTCTGCAAGAGTAAAAAATAGCATTTGATTATTAGGGAAAAAAATCATTAACTTCAACTATAAATAAGAATATGGAATAACAGCTTACAGAAAAGAACAGATAGATATGTTTTTCAAATATCTTTATATTTATATAAAATATATATAGTCACTTTATAGTGAAATGAAGTGACTTAAGCATGGTCACAGCGGTTAGGACTCAAGCCCTAGGCCCTTTGTTCCTCCTATATATAAAGCACTCTATAAATCATTCTGCTAAAACACTGCTATTGTCACCTGATTCACTGTATAAACCTTGCTGTGGCTTTCTTTTCCAATTTTTGTAAGGAAGAATTAATCTCTTAGCTTTATATTTCAAGTCTTCCCAAATCCTATGATCCTATTTATCTTTATCATGATCTCTCTCTGACTTCCAGCACAAATCCCAACTATAGACAAATGTAGGCTAATCACTTGCCTCCAACACTCTGTCCCAGCTATGGCTCAAGTCAGACCTCATATACTCAGACCTTCCTGGCCCTTCCTACACATGAGGGTTTTTCCTTCTTTAGCACTAATTTTTAAGAAACAAAATGTATCTATGACACATATTGAGTACCTTGTCAAACACTGTCATATTTTTTGTCATGATACCCTGCCCTTACATGACAAGCCAATCAAGGGCTAGGGCCACTTCTTGTGTAATCCTTAATATTCCCTGTGGCAACCACCTACAATGCCATGCACTTAGTAGCTTTTAAACAAACTGTTATTACTTTGAAATTGGGCTTCAAATGCATCTTCATTTTGATCTAATGATGGCCATTCATCTTTGTCATCAGAAATATCAGGAAGGGTAGGAGCCTGAAACACATTCATGATGAAACCTTAAAAGAATAGAAAGAGTACTGTAAACATAGTTGCAAAAGATCTTTCATGAAATTGTGTCAGTGCTACACATTCAAAGAAAAGGCTCACCTAACGCCTCTTTGGTGTGCACAGTGGGTGACGGCTGCACTTTGGATGGTGTTGCCTGAACCATTCCCAGTGATGTGTTTGGAGTTGTGTGAAAAGAACTTGTGTTAACAACCTTATGTGTCTCGCACCCTATTAACGGAACAGGGACAAAATACATTATCAGTAAGGAAATGAGAATAATTTAGAAGGCATACAATTTAAGAAACTTATGATTAAAACATTCCATCATTATTGATAAATATCACTGGGGACTTCCACTCTTACAGTGCTTTCATAGTTTTCATTTTTATCTTTACAGTGGTCCCACAAAGTGGGTAAGGCAAGAATTAACTTCTTACAGAGAAGCAAATGAAAGCTCAAGGAGATTAAGTGTCTTGGTCTAAGATAATGTCAAATTAGCAGCCTTGTCGTAAGTGGCACCCTTCACTGTTTCCCAAGAAATACATGTTAATAGTCACACTGCAAATCTTAAGATTGGCTTTCCACCTCACTCAGCTGGAGTCCAGACAATGGTATCCTCAGACCTTATCTTCCTCTTTCTCCTGCTCATTCCAGCTACTCTGGCCTCTTTGCTATGCTTAGAATACATCAGGGCTCCCACCTGAGGGCTCTGGACTCGTTCTTCCCTCTGCCTGAAAAGGGTTTTCCAAGCTAGCTGCATAGGCAGCTCCCTGCTTCAGACCTTTACCCAAATATCACTTTATGGGCTCCCCTGAAATTCCAATCCCTCCCCAAGAACAACACTTCCTTCCCCCTCTGCATGAGTGGGAGCTTTGTCCCTTGTGCTCACAGCTGTACCACGAGCTATCTAGAATAGTGCCTAGCACCTAGCGAGCACTCGGCCTTGGTTAAATGGAGGTATCTCCCGCTGTTTTGAGTAGTTTTGTTCCCCATTAAGCTATTACTGGAAAGGTTGCAACAGTCATATAGAGGGGCAGGGGTTAGTGAATGCCCGATCCATTTATAGTTTATGCTATATATAAATTGCATAATTTACCTTTTATTAGAGGCAAATGCCTCTAACAAAATAGTAACAGAGTACAACACTTCTCATTAAACTTCCTACCTCATAACATATTAAAGATGACACTTGTCTAGATAAATCTGCTATGAAATTTAACAGAAAAATTTCCAAAGGATTCTAGTAAGATGCAACTAACAAGTGGACTGCTACCTTTACTGGAAATGGCCCTGAGCTCATCTAACCCCCACATTCTAAGAAAGGAAAGCTAACACCCAGGTTCGTTATGGTTTGAAGGCTTCCCAAACAATAGACACCAAACAGACCTCTAGCAACCCAGAGGAACCTAGGCAAACAGTCAGAAACAAATTTATTATAATTAAACATTACCTTCTTTTACCTCTGTTCCACTCTGTGGCTTGAATTTCTGAGTACTTTTAGTCACACATCTGGAAGAGAAAACTCATTAGATACACTAACTCTCAAGAAAGAACAGTAAAAATGTCAGCAAATGTCTACAAGCCTGTTGTCAAAATACAGATGGAACTGCTTAGTTCTAAAGAGTAAGTAAATAAAATGTTTATGTTTAATCAAGGAAAAGAATTCTTACAGATAAAGGTATCTGCCTGACACAGGGATTCTGTATTTTAACACCATGATACTCATTCCTACATGTGGTAGGGTAGGATAATGGCTCCCCTTATTCAAATGAGCCCATTTATTGTGTAGGCTAAGGGGCTAGCTCTTAGCTCCAGGCCTGGGTGCCTGCTACATGGCCGCCTCTCTCATGATGAGCCAGTAGCCACAGGGCATTGCTCTCCAGACTTGAAGTTACCATGAAAGAAGAAAACAGCAGTTAAGATGTTTGTATCAGTTTGTTTCCCACACAGTTGTGACAGCAGCCCTGTCTGTTTAATGTGGCTAGGATCCTGGAAGGAACACTGCTTAGATGGAGAGTGAAAGGTGCACAGCACTTAATCTTACAGATCCCCACAACACGGTCATGAAAGCATGAGTCTTTATGCGAGATTGCAGAGAAAAGCACCTTTCCCCTGCATGGTGAGCAGGCCGGTCTACTGAGAACGCTGGGGGCCCATTTACCCTCTTGTCTGGGCCTGGGCCTGGGCCTAGGCCAGGGCCAGTCTGAAGCCTTCTGAGATCTAAATGTTCATTAGGTTCTAGAGCTTCACGGTTTCACGAACCATAGCTATGTCTGGCTCCCCAACCACAGGACTCCATCTCTGCAGGGGTGGTTAGACACATCATCTCTATGGGGTTGGTCACCACTGCCATTTTTGCCATTTTACAGTTGTGTAAATGAACTATGAAGAACAAATGACATCCTAGTCCTCACACAGCAGTCCTCTTATGTATATGGTACAAATAGGGCACAGTCTGAACTGTCATCCTAATGTGAGTGAAAAAGCATGTGATTTTAAATCTCATTTCCAGGAGAAATCATTGATAAAAGTTAATGATGGACATTGATAAGAACCAGTACTTAAGAACCATAATCTGTACTAAGAGCTTTAGCCCAAAGGGAGGGTGGTAGTGACACTATGGCTTTTATTTTTTTTAATGGATCAATAAAATTGTTTTATGTAAAAGAGAGAGAGAGACAAAGTGACTGAAGATAAAAATTTAAACAAGACAAGCGATGTGACATTAATTAAACAGGAAAATGCCTCAAAACTGGGGGAAAAACACCCATAGCAGTGCAGAGAGAGATTTTGGTCTATCGTGTAATGGGTATAAATCCCCAGCAGAAAGACACAAGGATTATGAGAAGAACACATGTTAAGGAACTGCCTGCATAGTAATAATCCCTCTGTGTATTCAGTTAAAGCCATAAGCAAGGCAATTCCAGTTTAATAGCTATGCATTCATTCTTCAGTTATAAACATTGTGGATTTTCAGGGTACTGAAAATTATTAATTTCAGAGAGCAGTATGACGTGAAGTAAATACTCTAATAAAAGAGGAATGGAAAAGGCTGACATCTTTGGGCCCATTTTGGTAACTTGGTTTTTCAAGAATATGCCCATCTAAAAGTTACTTTAATGTAAGGAGTTATTCACTGTTTACTTACTGCACTTGATAATACAAACCATGTAAAAAAGCTGGTGGATGACATTCCTACATTATCATCTCTAGGACTACCTCTGACTTACTGCAAATCTTTTCTGGCCACTGCAAACACAGAATCTGTCGCCAGCTGGGCTGTCAAAGGAACAGGCGGTGCTACACTCTGGCTGATAGCCGGGGACACCAAAGCGACGGTGACAGCATCTGCCATTTGAGGAATGACAGGAGTTGCCTCTCTCGCTTTCTCTGCTATGGTCTCTGAGGTCTGCTGATTGATGGCTGGAAGAGATGGACCTCCCAGTTCCTGTGGAGAGCCTACACCTGGCCCCAGATGTGCTGGATCAACCTTTCATGGTAAGTAAACAAACAAAAACAAAACCATGAGGTCCACAATATTACTAATTCATATCACAGCTTTTCCAAGAATGGCATCTTCAGTAGATTCTTTCCCCTTGAGGAATCCCTTTACCCCTTCAGGTATTTTGAAATGAACAGCCAACAAAAAAGACCATTCTACATGATGGGTGCTTTTGTAGCTTCCTAAGCACAGACACGATGGCAGCTCAAACTCCTAATTAATAAAATAAGCAGTGCCTACAGTTGGATCAGTATTTAAGAACTGTCTTATTTCTCCTAATTTGGGGAACAGACCAACAAATCAATGTTATCACATGCTTGTTATGGTGCTCCTCCTATTAAAACACATTCAGCATTTAGCAGAAAATGTGACTATGCACTGCAGTAATTACTGCCACAAGAGCATGGCTCCCAATGGGAAGAGAACAAACTCTTAACTGAGAATCTTTGCTTCTCTACTCACATGTACTTAGACTGCAATTGTGCATGCTCCTATGTTACCAAGTTAAAAGAAGAGTTAATTACTCACATATATAAAACTATTCTCACAAATTGTTAAGAAAAGCACCGAATACCTAGGGCAAGAATAGATATTTCACAGATAAATGGATGAACTATAAGAAGTCCATCTATTCTAGTCATCAAAAAAGGTAATTAAAAAGAACATATACCATTTTATTATGTACCAAATTAGTAAAGAGTAAAAATCATCTTAATAGTCTCCGAAGAAATACTTGAAAAACATTAAGACTTTCTATACCAGATACCAAAACATACATCATAGCTGTGGTAAATACACAATTTTGGTATGGATATTTTAGAAATGGATCTATGTATATTAAAAATTTAGTATATGATAAAGAGATTTTAAATCAATGGGGAATGGTCAATATATCATTTAGTGGCAACTGGCAATCCATTTGGAAAATACATCTTTATGACACCTAGACACAAAAGTAAGTTTCATAAAGAGAAGTTTCTGATTACAGACAGTGGCTTAAGCATGTGCTTCATCATGTACAACCCTCCTAAAATCTTACCAAAATGACAATAAAGGAATTCTAACACCTAAAACAGCAGTGGGAGGAGGTTCATCCCTGGGGAAGTTTTGAAATTTAGATATGTCTCAGAATGGAAGTAAAGGTGGAACTGGAAATGGGAATGCGGCAACAGTAAGTCTGTTAAGAAAGCAGATCCTGAGACCCATTCTTGCAGGCGCGTGCAGAGGATGGCTCCTCCTGTCCCGCCTGGCAGCAGACTGCAAGTTTCCTTTCTAGAGAAACTGAACCAAAAGGACTGTGGTCTAGGCAGAGGGTGGCTGTGACACACCGTGCCAGAAACCAAAGGCCTGAATCAGACTATTCACTTAACAGGGGGATCCCTAGCCTTTCCTTGACTCCACACTGTTAGTTGCCTGGGTTTATGCTTTCAAACAAAAAAAAAGATTCTGCGCTCAGGAATTAATTAGACACCCTCTAGTGAAGCTGATCAGTTAGCAAGCCCCCTTATACATGTGGGAATTCCAATCAGTCTTTTCAGGTCTGCTTTTGGATGAATAGATGTTAAGATCACCAGATAAAATGATAAGCTTTCAATATGAAGGACAAAGGCCAAAACAAATAAATAATACATTTAAAAGGGAAATAAGGGATTCTGAGATGGGTCAGCAGCAGGGGGATGGGGGTGGGGTCCTTAATATCTTCGAACTGAGAGGTAAGATATTACATTCTCATAACAAGAATAGGCAGCTAAGAAAATTAACATTCATAATAAAAAAGCTATGTGATCTTAGAAGTGACACCAAAAATAAATGACTTAATGTACCATAACCAATAAATGAATATACCAATTAACAAATTTAAATACCATAAGACGTTAAGGAAATCTCTCAGAAAGTTGGGGGGAAAAGTGGTTAAAAAGGAGAAAAAAGTTCAGAAACTAGAGGATCAGTGTAGGATAGCCAACTATGAAATATGAGTTTCTGAAAACCAAGAACAGAGGCATGTGTATGGGAATTATTAAAAACAAAACAAAACAAAACAAAAACAAAACAAAACAAACCCCAGCCAATGCCCCGAACTGCAGGACTAGAATGCTCAAGCACTGAGTGTACTGAATAGAAAGATAAACCCTAGAACATTGTCATTACATCACAACACTGGGGAGGACAATCTGACCCACTTCCAAAGAACAACAGAGGCCACCTTCAAAGGACCAAAAATCAGAAAGACCCTGAGGCTTTTCAACACCAACCAACATGGAAGTCAAAAGATCTGAGTAGAGCCTGCACAAATTCTGCGGGAGCATGATTTCCCTCCAAGAATGTCATGCGCAGCTGAATTATCACCCAAGTGCGAGGGCAGAATGAAGATGCTTTCACCTATGATCTAAGAAAATTAACTGCTCCCATATACTTAAAAAAATGCACAACTAAAATAGGTACATAAAGTAGAAACAATGCCATGGGAAGCAGAAAACAGATCTCTATGTAGTAATAGTGAAAGATCTGTAAGATGGGTTAGGTAGAACAAGCAGAAAATAAGTCTTACTTATTCAGAAACTTTAATTGTATTCATATTTATGTGTATTCATGTATAGTAAAGTCTGGAAAAAGGCAAACTACAGTAGTTGGGAATGAAAGAGGATTCATTCATATATATGCACACACATGCACATAAATACCTTTTCTTCAATTTTTTTAAACCATCATATAGTCACATATTTTTATAACTTCCAAAATATTCAAGAAAATAAGGTTAATCTTCATTGTAGCCTACATCATAGATAGATACATATTGTGTGAAGTTTAAGCAACTATCATATAGTTTAAATTGATTTATCCCCAGTCTACCCCATTTACTAATAATTTTAAGAAAATACATGTGGCTCTAATGCTCTCAACACTTCTGACCTCTTCCAACATGAAACAATGGCAAACATAAAATATATCTAGATGATGTATTAATGAAATTATTAAATTAGAATTCTCATTATATAATAGTCATTGTACAAAAAATCAGAAAAAAGGCTATATCCACACTAATACATAAATACTTAATATGTACATAAACATACATAAAACATACATTCTGTTCTGTAACTTGCTTTTCTCATTCTACATTTTGAACATCTTTCTGTGTCAAACTGTTTAAAAATTTGGAAGGCTAGTTGCTAAATTAACATCAGAATTAACTCTAAAAATAGGGCACAAAAAGGAGAAAATAAAAGTGGAAATCACTGCTACTGGGCATGGGAAGTGCCAGCAAGGAGCACACACACACCTCAGACCTTGCCTGGACAGCGGGCAGGTTCTCATGTGACATCTCCACCACTTGGTGCAACTTCTTATGAAGTTCCTCCATTTTCTGTTTTAACAGTTGTTCTTCAAACGCGTTTGCTTCTTTCCTTTTCATATAATGTCTGTCTTCATTTACTTAGATAAAAAATGGTTTGCACGCAAAGTTTAATTTCAGGTCATCAGAGGAATACCCAAGAAGTGAGTAAAAGCTCATTTTTAGGATGGCAATTATTTTTTAATTGTCTTTTCCTTGTGTATTAGGTTGTTAGAATTGGAATATATATTATCTTTTAAGCATTATTTTTACCTGCCCTCAGCATGGTTACTTTAAAGTTCAGGGCATCTAAGTCAAAAAAATTTATTTGTTGATCAACAAAAATATTTAGTAATAGCACAGTATGATGATAAGCACTTCTTGTGAAACTATTATGGTAGTGCAAATCATTTGAGAACGGAAGTGCTGAGAAGAAATAAGAAAGTCCACTGAAGATCATCAAGTGCACTGCATTTAGCTCCACTTCCAGCGACTGGCTAACAGAACCNTTAGCTTTATATTTCAAGTCTTCCCAAATCCAATGATCCTATTTATCTTTATCATGATGTCTCTCTGACTTACAGCACAAATCCCAACTATAGACAAATGTAGGCTAATCACTCGCCTCCAACACTCTGTCCCAGCCATGGCTCAAGTCAGACCTCATATACTCAGACCTTCTTGGCCCTTCCTACACATGAGGGTTTTTCCTTCTTTAGCACTAATTTTTAAGAAACAAAACGTATCTATGACACATATTGAGTACCTTGTCAAACACTGTCATATTTCTTGTCATGCTACCCTGCCCTTACACGACAAGCCAATCAAGGGCTGGGGCCACTTCTTGTGTAATCCTTAATATTCCCTGTGGCAACCACCTACAATGCCATGCACTTAGTAGCTTTTAAACAAACTTATTACTTTGAAATTGGACTTCAAATGCATCTTCGTTTTCATCTAATGATGGCCATTCATCTTTGTCATCAGAAATATCAGGAAGTGTAGGAGCCTGAAACACATTCATGATGAAACCTTAAAAGAATAGGAGTACTGTAAACATGGTTGCAAAAGATCTTTCACGACATTGTGTCAGTGCTACACATTCAAAGAAAAGGCTCACCTAACGCCTCTTTGGTGTGCACGGTGGGCGACGGCTGCACTTTGGATGGTGTCGCCTGAACCATTCCCAGTGACGTGTTTGGAGTTGTGTGAAAAGAACTCGTGTTAACAACCTTATGTGTCTCGCACCCTGTTAAAGGAACAGGGACAAAATACATTATCAGTAAGGAAATGAGAACAATTTAGAAGGCATACAATTTAAGAAACTTATGATTAAAACATTCCATCATTATTGATAAATATCACTGGGGACTTCCACTCTTACAGTGCTTTCATAGTTTTCATTTTTATCTTTACAGTGGCCCCACAAAGTGGGTAAGGCAGGAATGAACTCCTTGCAGAGAAGGAAATGAAAGCTCAAGGAGATTAAGTGTCTTGGTCTAAGATCATGTCAAATTAGCAGCCTTGTCATAAGTGGCACCCTTCACTGTTTCCCAAGAAATACATGTTAATAGTCACACTGCAAATCTTAAGATTGGCTTTCCACCTCACTCAGCTGGAGTCCAGACAATGGCATCCTCAGACCTTATCTTCCTCTTTCTCCTCCTGCTCATTCCAGCTACCCTGGCCTCTTTGCTATGCTTAGAATACATCAGGCTNTAAGGAAATGAGAACAATTTAGAAGGCATACAATTTAAGAAACTTATGATTAAAACATTCCATCATTATTGATAAATATCACTGGGGACTTCCACTCTTACAGTGCTTTCATAGTTTTCATTTTTATCTTTACAGTGGCCCCACAAAGTGGGTAAGGCAGGAATGAACTCCTTGCAGAGAAGGAAATGAAAGCTCAAGGAGATTAAGTGTCTTGGTCTAAGATCATGTCAAATTAGCAGCCTTGTCATAAGTGGCACCCTTCACTGTTTCCCAAGAAATACATGTTAATAGTCACACTGCAAATCTTAAGATTGGCTTTCCACCTCACTCAGCTGGAGTCCAGACAATGGCATCCTCAGACCTTATCTTCCTCTTTCTCCTCCTGCTCATTCCAGCTACCCTGGCCTCTTTGCTATGCTTAGAATACATCAGGCTCCCACCTGAGGGCTCTGGACTTGGTTCTTCCCTCTGCCTGAAGAGGGTTTTCCAAGCTAGCTGCATAGCGGCTCCCTGCTTCAGACCTTTACCCAAATATCACTTTATGGGCTCCCCTGAAATTCCAATCCCTCCCCAAGAACAACACTTCCTTCCCCCTCTGCATGAGTGGGAGCTTTGTCCCTTGTGCTCACAGCTGGACCCCGAACTATCTAGAATAGTGCCTAGCACCTAGCGAGCACTCGGCCTTGGTTAGATGCAGGTATCTCCCGCTGTTTAAGTAGTTTTGTTCCCCATTAAGCTATTACCGGAAAAGTTGCAACAGTCATATGGAGGGGCAGGGGTTAGTGAATGCCCGATCCATTTATAGTTTATGCTATATATAAATTGCATAATTTACCTTTTATGCAAATGCCTCTAACAAAATAGTAACAGAGTACAACGCTTCTCATTAAACTTCCTACCTCATAACATATTAAAGATGACACTTGTCTAGATAAATCTGCTATGAAATTTAACAGAAAAATTTCCAAAGGATTCTAGTAAGATGCAACTAACAAGTGGACTTGCTACCTTTACTGGAAATGGCCCTGAGCTCATCTAACCCCCTCATTCTAAGAAAGGAAAGCTAACACCCAGGTTCGTTATGATTTGAAGGCTTCCCAAACAGTAGACACCAAACAGACCTCTAGCAACCCAGAGGAACCTAGGCAAACAGGTCAGAAACAAATTTATTATAATTAAACATTACCTTCTTTTACCTCTGCTCCACTCTGTGGCTTGAATTCCTGAGTACTTTTAGTCACACATCTGGGAAGAGAAAACTCATTAGACACACTAACTCTCAAGAAAGAACAGTAAAAATGTCAGCAAATGTCTACAAGCCTGTTGTCAAAATACAGATGGAACAGCTTAGTTCTAAAGAGTAAGTAAATAAAATATTTATGTTTAACTAAGGAAAAGAATTCTTACAGATAAAGGTATCTGCCTGACACAGGGAGTCTGTATTTTAACACCATGATACTCATTTCTACATGTGGTAGGGCAGGATAATGGCTCCCCTCATTCAAATGAGCCCATTTATTGTGTAGGCTAAGGCGCTAGCTCTTAGCTCCAGGCCTGGGTGCGGGCTGCATGGCCACCTCTCTCATAATGAGCCAGTAGCCACAGGCTGCATGGCCGCCTCTCTCATGATGAGCCAGTAGCCACAGGGCATTGCTCTCCAGACTTCAAGTTACCATGAAAGAAGAAAACAGCAGTTAAGATGTTTGTATCAGTTTGTTTCCCATACAGTTGTGACAGCAGCCCTGTCTGTTTAACGTGGCTAGGATCCTAGAAGGAACACTGCTGAGATGGAGAGTGAAAGGTGCACAGCACTTAATCTTACAGATACCCACAACACCGTCATGAAAGCATGAGTCTTTATGCGAGATTCCAGAGAAAAGCACCTTTCCCCTGCATGGTGAGCAGGCCGGTCTACTGAGAGCGCTGGGGGCCCATTTACCCTCTTGCCTGGGCCTGGGCCTGGGCCAGGGCCAGTCTGAAGCCTTCTGAGATCTAAATGTTAAACTAGGTTCTAGAGCTTCACGGTTTCACGAACCACAGCTATGTCTGGCTCCCCAACCACAGGACTCCATCTCTGCAGGGGTGGTTAGACACATATCATCTCTATGGGGCTGGTCACCACTGCCATTTTTGCCATTTTACAGTTGTGTAAATGAACTATGAAGAACAAATGACATCCTAGCCCTCACACAGCAGTCCTCTTATGTATATGGTACAAATAGGGCACAGTCTGAATTGTCATCCTAATGTGAGTGAAAAAGCATGTGATTTCAAATCTCATTTCCAGGAGAAATCATTGATAAAAGTTAACGCTGGACATTGATAAGAACCAGTACTTAAGAACCATAATCTGTGCTAAGGGCTTTAGCCCAAAGGAAGGGTGGTAATGACACTATGGCTTTTATTTTTTTTAATGGATCAATAAAATTGTTATATGTAAAAAAGAGAGAGAGAGACAAAATGACTGAAGATAAAAATTTAAACAAGACAAGCAATGTGACATTAATTAAACAGGAAAATGCCTCAAAACTGGGGGAAAAACACCCGTAGCAGTGCAGAGAGAGATTTTGGTCTATCGTGTAATGGGTATAAATCCCCAGCAGGAAGACACAAGGATTATGAGAAGAACACATGTTAAGGAACTGCCTGCACAGTAATAATCCCTCTGTGTACTCAGTTAAAGCCATAAGCAAGGCAACTGCAGTTTAATAGCTATGCATTCTTCAGTTACAAACATTGTGGATTTTCAGGGTACTGAAAATTATTAATTTCAGAGAGCAGTATGACATGAAGTAAAAACTCTAAAAGCGGAATGGAAAAGGCTGACATCTTTGGGCCCATTTTGGTGACTTGGTTTTTCAAGAATATGCCCATCTAAAAGTTGTTTTAATGTAAGGAGTTATTCACCGTTTACTTACTGCACTTGATAATACAAACCATGTAAAGAAGCTGGTGGATGACATCCCCACATTATCATCTCTAGGACTACCTCTGACTTACTGCAAATCTTTTCTGGCCACTGCAAACACAGCATCTGTCACCAGCTGGGCTGTCAAAGGAACAGGCGGTGGGTGTTACACTGTGGCTGACAGCCGGGGACACACCAAAGCGACAGTGACAGCATCTGCCATTTGAGGAATGACAGGAGTTGCCTCTCTGGCTTTCTCTGCTATGGTCTCGGCTGATTGACGGCTGGAAGAGATGGACCTCCCAGTTCCTGCGGAGAGCCTACACCTGGCCCCAGATGTGCTGGATCAACCTTTCATGGTAAGCAAACAAACAAAAACAAAACCATGAGGTCCACAATATTACTAATTCATATCACAGCTCTTCCAAGAATGGCATCTTCAGTAGATTCTTTCCCCTTGAGGAATCCCTTTACCCCTTCAGGTATTTTGAAATGAACAGCCAACAAAAAAGACCGTTCTACATGATGGGTGCTTTTGTAGCTTCCTAAGCACAGACACGATGGCAGCTCAAACTCCTAGTCAATAAAATAAGCAGCGCCTACAGTTGGATCAGTATTTAAGAACTGTCTTATTTCTCCTAATTTGGGGAACAGACCAACAAATCAATGTTATCACATGGTTGTTATGGTGCTCCTCCTATTAAAACACATTCAGCATTCAGCAGGAAATGTGAGTATGCACTGCAGTAATTACGGCCACAAGAGCATGGCTCCCGATGGGGAAGAGAACGAACTCTTAACTGAGAATCTTTGCTTTTCTACTCACATGTACTTAGACTGCACTTGTGCATGCTCCTATGTTACCAAGTTAAAAGAATAGTTAATTACTCACATATATAAAACTATTCTCACAAACTGTTAAGAAAAGCACCAGATACCCAGGGCAAGAATAGATATTTCACAGATAAATGAATGAACTATAAGAAGTCCATCTATTCTAGTCATCAAAAAAAGATAACTAAAAAGAACCTATGTCATTTTATTATGTACCAAGTTAGTAAAGAGTAAAAATCATCTTAATAGTCTCCAAAGAAGTACTTGAAAAACATTAAGACTTTCTACACCAGATACCAAAACATACATCACAGCTGTGGTAAATACACAATTTTGGTATGGATATTTTAGAAATGGATCTATGTGTATTAAAAATTTAGTATATGATAAAGAGATTTTAAATCAATGGGGAATGGCTGAGATGGTCAATATATCATTTAGTGGCAACTGGCAATCCATTTGGAAAATACATCTTTATGACACCTAGACACAAAAGTAAGTTTCATAAAGAGAAGTTTCTGATTACAGACAGTGGCTTAAGCATGTGCTTCATCATGTACAACCCTCCTAAAACCTTACCAAATGACAATAAAGGAATTCTAACACCTAAAACAGCAGTGGGAGGAGGTTCATCTCTGGGGAAGTTTTGAAATTTAGATACGTCTCAGAATGGAAGTGAAGGTGGAGCTGGAAATGGGAATGTGGCAACAGTAAGTCTGTTAAGAAAGCAGATCCTGAGACCCATTCTTGCAGGCGCGTGCAGAGGATGGCTCCTCCTGCCCCGCCTGGCAGCAGACTGCAAGTTTCCTTTCTGGAGAAACTGAACCAAAAGGACTGTGGTCTAGGCAGAGGGTGGCTGTGACAGGCCGTGCCAGAAACCAAAGGCCTGAATCAGACTATTCACTGAACAGGGGGATCCCTAGCCTTTCCTTGACTCCACACTGTTAGTAGCCTGGGTTTATGCTTTCAAACAAAAACAAAGATTCTGCTCTCAGGAATTAATTAGACACCCTCTAGTGAAGCTGAACAGTTAGCAAGCCCCCTTATACATGTGGGACTTCCGATCAGTCTTTTCAGGTCTACTTTTGGATGAATAGATGTTAAGATTACCAGATACAATGATAAGCTTTCAGTATGAAGAACAAAGGCCAGAACAAATAAATAACACATTTAAAAGGGAAATAAGGGATTCTGAGATGGGTCAGCAGCAGGGGGATGGGGGTAGGGTCCTTAATACCTTTGAACTGAGAGGTAAGATATTACATTCTCATAACAAGAATAGGCAGCTAAGAAAATTAACATTCATAATAAAAAAGCTATGAAATCTTAGAAGTGACACCAAAAATAAATGATTTAATGTACCATAACCAATGAATGAATATACCAATTAACAAATTTAAATACCATAAGATGTTAAGGAAATCTCTCAGAAAGTTGGGGGGGAAAGCGGTTAGAAAGGAGAAAAAAGTTCAGAAACTAGAGGATCAGTGTGGGATAGCCAACTATCAAATGAGTTTCTGAAAACCAAGAACAGAGGCATGTGTTTGGGAATTATTAAAAATAAAACAAAACAAAACAAACCCCAGCCAATGCCCCGAACTGCAGGACTAGAATGCTCAAGCACCTAGTGTACTGAATAGAAAGATAAACCCTAGAACACTGTCATTACATCACAACACTGGGGAGGACAATCTGACCCACTTCCAAAGAACAACAGAGGCCACCTTCAAAGGACCAACAATCAGAAAGACCCTGAGGCTTTTTCCCTCAAAGAATATCATGCGCAGCTGAATTATCACCCAAGTGCGAGGGCAGAATGAAGATGCTTTCACATATGATCTAAGAAAATTAACTGCTCCCATATGCTTAAAAAAATGCACAACAGAAATAGGTACATAAAGTAGAAACAATGCCATGGGAAGCAGAAAACAGATCTCTATGTAATAATAGTGAAAGATCTGTAAGATGGGTTAGGTAGAAAAATATTTAGTAATAGCACAGTATGATGATAAGCACTTCTTGTAAAGCTATCATGGTAGTGCAAATCATTTGAGAACGGAAGTGCTGAGAAGAAATAAGAAAGCGCACTGAAGATCATCGAGTGCACTGCATTTAGCTCCACTCCCAGCGACTGGCTAACAGAACCTTATCACACACAAATCAAATCGTACAGCTGAACTTTACATCACGGGGTGGGAAAGAAAAATACATCTGTGCATGGCACAAAATGTCCTCTGTGAGTATAAACCGCCTGTTCTAGTCCAAATCCCTGAGATGGAATAAAAGCCCTAACTGGAGCAAAGGTTCATTTCCCCTTCTCTGTAAGGTCCAAATTGTTACAGCAAGGGCAAGTGCAAATGTTGTTAACAATCCTGGTTTTCCCTGTGGGGAACAGAACCTGATCCATTATGTAGCCATAAATAACATGGCACTTTGATGAGAGGACTCCTTCTGAATTTATGATTTATAGATTTGTAGTAGTTGAAGATCTTAGAAAATCTCTTCTCAACTCTGGTTTCTAACTTAATCCTCTCACAGTTCAAGTAACTGACTTTAAGTTTAGAATTACTCACTACAGAAGTTCAAATCCATTTAAGATAATATGTAAAGGCCAAAAAAAAGCAGAGGCTTTTTACTATTAAAGTAGATGGATATCAACATTAGTGCTGTTCCAAAACTGAGCTTTGCTGTCAAGATACCAATTTAGTCCTTGGACAAAAGTGGCTGCTACACTTGTATTTAACAAAGATTTCCAGGCTTCTGACAGGATGAGCTGGACCCTTTTTGGTAAATTCTTTCAGTATGGTCAATTTGTTAAAAATGTAATTACTCAGAGATAAGGATTATTTTAAGTGACATAAGAATATCTCAGATTATAAGACTACAATACCCCATTGCTCATGCTTTTTCCGTTGACTATATTTCTGGGCTCTCAGTTCTTCAAAGGAAAATTCTGATTCTCTACGAATAAGCTTCTCCTTGCAATACATCACAATCTGCTGAACATCAGCTTTGGCTGCCAAAGATGGGTGTGCAGAATATTCTGATTTAGAAATCATGATCACCCTTTGTTTCCTGTAATGAGGAAAAATACATCATTTATAGCAGCGTACTGAAGCAGCTCTTGAAAAAAACTAATAGATTAATACACTGATTATACTTGCATATTTGACTCTTTATCACAAGCTGAAGATAATACTCCAGAAAGTTCTGAACCCTGAAAAGACAAAAAGAAACATAGCACTCACCAGGAAAGAAACCTTCACCCAAGTTATTTCACAAAACAGTATGAAAATATCTGAGGAGCCTCTTATTCATTAAGGAGATTTACATATGCTCTTTTAAATTATAATCAAAATCAATTAGTTTTCATTATTAACCCTATGAAACTTTTGTAACTGGAAGTCCAGTAAGAGGGTGACTTAAAAAACTTTCTACTTGGTAGTACAGAAGGGCACTAATTTCCCTTGATCTATAGTCTAGGAGCAAGGCCACAGTGTCTAAGTGTTATAGGTTTAAAATTCCAAAATAAATGCCTAAAAATTATCTTCTGGTATTGTTCTCTCCTCAGATAGAAGTTCCCAATGCTCGCACTCAATCACTTAACAAAGAGTTATTGAAAACCTCGTATTTGTTACATTCTGAGCTAGGTCTTGGGAATGTGACCATAAATAAGACTCAACTCTAGTACCTAAAAATTTATAATAGGGTAATAGGAAGCAAAGAGGCTGGTATATGTCTAGGATGTAAACTGGAATAGTTTGAGTATCTATCAAAGTTACAAATGCATATTCTACTTCTAGGATGTGTCTCATTAATAAAACCTGCACAGGTGTATGTAGAAATTTCCACTGGATTTAGCTTAAAAGAGGTCCTTAGCAAACTCCGAAAGAGCAACTCTGCTATGGAGAGAGGGATGCTGGGAAACAAGGAAGGAGACTTGAGCATTTTTTATGTATTGATACTCCACTGGGGCAGAAGAGACCTTGACGGTGAACATCTCAAGGACACAAGATGAGCACAGGTGGAAGACCATCTTTGTCCACTGAGATGGCAAGGAGAACACAGTTACATTTAGTGGTGGCAGAAAACTGACAGATGTCATCTGATGGCTTCTGCTCTATCACTGAAATCGTATTTTTTGCCAGCTCCTGAGGGAAAGAGTTGAGGCAGCCAGATCCCAAGTCTGAGCAAAGTGAAAAGAAGCTTAAAATCAATTTAACGTGAATGGGAAACAAGAGATCCATCAAACATAAAGCTCAAACCAGGGAACTGGGAACACAGTTGCTGGAAAGCAGTAAAGGCTGGGTGGAGGTTGCAGATTCATCATTGCAAGCTCTGGGGTGGTTAGGCAGGGCCCAAGAAGGTGTTTTCCAAGGTAGGGCTTCCTGATCTGTGTGAGGGAGGAGAAACTGCTGGGGAGGACATGTTTTGTAGTGGGGGACCCTAGGTCAGATAAGAGCAGGAAATTATGCCGGACAATACGTTACTTGAAATGAATATTTGACGTGAGCAGTGGCAGATAACAGCAGGCCCAACAAGTTGCCACAGGCACAGGTAGCTGACGTGGAGGTAAGAGTCACAGGAGACAAAGTCAATGAAAGATGTCAAAGTAGGTGTGGATGGTAGCTGGACGACCATTCAATAGCACTCCCAGTTTCCACACAACCACAAACGCTATTATTACCTGATTCTTAGAAACACATGCTGAGTTATTTCCTGGATTTGATTTTGATGCCATTTGATTTACAATCTGAGCATTATGCAGAGGTTCTGAGGCTCTAGCTATGGAGAAGAAAGGATGAAATAAGGCTAAAACCATGCAAATAAAATTATTACAAATACATTCCCCTAATCTTTCAATAAGTAGCATAAGAAATAAGTCAACTCATTCACAGTGTCTCAGAAAAAGTAACTAAAATACACTGTAGATAAGAGAAGTATAGTAGAGACATTTTTCTAATCACTTCTAAATGCCCAAAGGAAGTGCCTGGAAGAAACGTAAAATCTAACTAGTTATTATAAATAGGATAAGATAGTCAATGCTTATTGCTATAATGTATATAATCTTTATGTTGAAGAAAAAAAATGACTACATTCTTTAAAAGCTGCATTAACCACATTTGATTCTATTCAGAATAGATGGACTATAGAATGAGTATTGTTCTCTATTCAGAGCAATTTACATTTTTTTTTTAAATTCCTAAAAATACAATGAAATCAAGTTTTCCTTGGGGATTTGCTCTTTTAAAGTGCTAAGAAAGAGGCCTGTTCTCCAGAGGTATTTAGTGGGCATTATTACTATGTATTATGCATTTAGTGTGCCTTCCCATTATGTAAGACAGTACAGACAATAAATACTGGATGGATTTGTTTTTTAAGAAAAAAAGAAAGGCAATGCAGAGACTAAATTAACAATTTAGACATTTTAGAAAGCACTGTTTTACCTTGAGTTGGCAAATGAGTCTCTGTGAGGCGTGTCTGAAATAACCTAAACAATAGGAATAAAGATATCAGTATAGATTATAAAACTTAACAGTTTAATACATATTTGTATTAAAGCAAAAACAAATAGGAGAGCTTATTATAAGCTAGCAAAGACTGAGGTCAAGAGACAACATAAGACTGATTTTTGGAGTTGCTTCAAAACAAGAAAAAATCTCTGGGAATATCTTCATATCTAATAAATTTATATTAGAAAAATTCCTCCTTCTGCCTAGTTTATGTCAGTATTTCTTAAATTCACATAGCAAAGGTACACCCTTTCTCTGTGTATCAAGTATGCAAATGTTTGAAGTCCTTATTTTTGGCATTCCATACATCTGGAATCTAATATGTTTGGAAGAAAGAAATGAAAGTAAAAAATCTTCAAGACTATATAGTCTAGAACAATAATATAACAGCTCTATTGTTCATGCTGTGAGAACTTCCTCAATATGTCATTTCATGCCCCTTTGCACAGCAACTCAACCTGTCAGGTAACATGCAACTTGCACGCCTGACATTTTTGGGAGATGTGGGCAAGAGTAAAGAGACTATGAGATGTACATTCAAATGCCAAATCTTGTGACTCATAATGCAACAAACCAAAGGTTAAAAAAAGTTTACATAAATGAGGAATGATTGAAAATCAGATGATATTAAAGAATTATAGTTAATTTTGTTTGGTGTGAAAATGACATAAGGTTCTATAAGAAATCACCTTTTAGAGATGTTTAAGTGTTTGGGGTAAAATATTTTGCTGACTTGGATTTGCTTTAAATTCTTCAGTATAGAAAAAACATGATCAAATATTAATAATTATTAAATGTTGGTGATAGGTAAATGGACGGTCATTATATAAATTTTCCTTTAATGAAGCATGAAAATTCTTTTCATAAAGTTGAGAAAGAGCATGAGCACTATAACAATATTGAAAGATGAGTATATTAAACGCTGACAAGAGGTGTAGTGAAATAAGTTGTCTCATATGCTGTAGAGAAGGGGACAAAAAAACCCAGCATAACCTTTTGAATAAGGTAATTTGACTCTATGAACCACAACTTCAAAACTCATACACTCTGCAACTCAATAGTTTCAATTCTGAGAAAGGAACTAGGTAAGAATAGGAAATGTATTGGGAGATACCTTTATGATGAAGGAAAAAAAAGCCTGACACAAACTGCTTATGTATGTAAAGCATGCTTGTAATTGTGTAACAAGCTGAGAAGAAAATGCAAACTAAAATGCCAGAAGGTTTCTTGTTTCTTTAGTTTTCTATATTTTCAAAATTCCCTAAGTGAGATATAGTTACAGAAAAAGTAAAAATTGTGAAAAAGTTATTCATTAAGACATTACATTGTTCTTTATAAAAATTAAAATATTGGAAACAGCTTAAATGTCCAATTAGAGAACACTGAAGTTACAGCATAACTCTGGGACAGATTTTACAGCTACTTTATAAGTGTAAACATTCTTAATTCCTTAGAAGCAGTCAAGCTCAGTATATATAACTGACACACTGTATGACTTACTATTAAAATACACACAGAGATATTGGAAGGAAAAGATTGGAAAAGATTTTGGAAGGAAATGCAACAAAATGTTATCAGTGTCCTTTCCTTTACACTAGTCTCTATTATCCACATCTGCCACAGTGAGGACTTCCCTGTACAAATGGGTAACTATAACATTTTTTAAGGAGCAAACACATTTCAAAGTAGGAAATGCCATGCAGTTTCATTTTCAGACTACCTGTACTGTTGTTGCAGCACTTCTCCAGGTTCGGCCTGGTTTTGAATTCCTCTCCGGATAATGGCGCTGGCATGCTGCAGCTCTCCCTGGCTTTCCAGATGCCCAGCCCAGGCTAGGTACAGAGTAGATGACAGGGTTCCAATCCCATGGTTGTACAGAAACTCAAAAAACTGATGAAGGTCACTGTTGCACTGAGCCTAAGGAAACCCAAAGCAGACGTAAGAACAAAGGAACTGCTAGTCTAGTTCTGGCACAGAGACCAGCCAGCCTTCCATGTTCGGTCTTCATGCAGACTTCAGGATGTATTGGGTAGGGGAAGACCTGTGTGGCTATTTGACGACAACCTACAGTTTAGGCTCATTCCTTTCCTTGATATTCAATGTCCCCCAAATTACCCACACTATTTCCCAAAAGAGTGAGTTCTAAATGAGGTATTATGTAAGGTATTACTTTTGCCTTAATCTGAGCTTGCCGAAGTTCCATAGGGTACCTCTAATTCTAGTATTTTGTATTTTAGTGAACAAATCCATGTTTACCCTATCATGATCTTATTACTAAAACTCATGCCCCCAACCATTTATTTCAAGATTGAAGAGAACCAACCTTTACAAATTTTTTTAACTGAAATACAGCTGACATACAATATTATATTAGTTTCAGGCATATTCAGTCTTATTTTATAATTGAAAGTTTGTATCTCTTTATCCTTTTCACCTCTTTTGCCCATCTTCCCCACACTCCATGGCAACCACCAGTTTATTCTCTGTATTTATGAGTTCATTTGTTTTTAGATTTCACATGTAAGTGAAATCATATGGTATTGGTCTTTGTCTGATTTATTTCACTTAGCACAATACCCTCTAGGTCTATCCAATTGTCGCAAACTTCAAGATGTCATTCTTTTTTGTGGCTGAGTAATTATTCCTTTGTATCTATGTACCACACCTCCATTTATCTATCAGTGGACACTTAGGTTGCTTATTTATCTCGGCTACTATAAATAAAGCTGCAATAAACCCAGGGGTACATATTATCTTTTCAAATAGTGATTTTGTTTTCTTCATGAAAACACCCAGAAGTGGTATTAATTCTTCCAATCCATGAACATGGTATATCTTTCCATTTATTTATGTCATCTTCAATTTTTTTCACCAATGTCTTATAGTTTTCATTATACAGGTCTTTAACCTCGGTGTTTGAATTTATTCCTAGGTATTTTATCCTTTTTGATGCAATTATAAATGGAATTGTTTTCTTAATTTCTCTTTCTGCTCGCTCATTTTTAGTACATAAAAAGCAACAGATTTCTGTGCATTGATTTGATATCCTCCAACGTCACTGAATTAATTCACTCTAACAGTTTTTTGGTGGCATTTTTAGAGTTTTCTATATAGAGTATTATGTCCTTAGAAAGTGACAATTTTACTTCTTCCTTACCAATTTGGGTGCCTTTTATTTATTTTTTTCTTGTCTGATGGCTGTGGCTAAGACTTCCAGTACTATGTGAATAAAAACAGTGAGAGTGCACATTCTTATCTTGTTCCTGATCTTAAAAGTAAAGCTTTCAGTTTCTCACCATTGAGTATGATGCGAGCTGTGGGACCAAACATTTTAAGCCTAACCTGATGTGGCCTTCTCCTTTTAGTACTAAACTTAGTTCCTCAGAGTTAAAACTTTCTTAATTATTCACAATGGATTTAATTTATTCCCAGGAACCCTCTGAATTCTCCTCTCCCTCAAATATACTTCTTATCCAACAATGTTTTAATATAATGGTTTCTATCTCATGTAACATTTACAGACTTGATACATAGTGAAGGAGGGTTTTAAATTAAATTACTGACTCCATAACAACAGAAGCCAAAAGGTTCTAAAAATACACATCTCTGGCCATACAACTTTTAAAAATTTATGATTGGAAACAAAGGAATTAAAATAAAAGACAGTCTAAAATCATCTTAAAATGTGGGGAAAAAAGCAAAAGTACAACATGATTACAGATTTGATTATATATCTGAAAATATACTTACAAATTTTAAACAATAATTGATGAATCTGGGGTCATTGTGGTATTTCTTCTTATCTAAAAATTCCTTCATTAAATGTTCTAATAAAGTTGTCAAGTATTCTTTATTCTGAGGAAAATTTTCTTCCACCCACTGCACATAACTAGAAAAATTTGGATAATATTATTTTTAGGATAGCATATAGTTTGTTTAAAGGGGAAAAAATAGACTAAAAGCTAACCTTTCCCATTCACCAAGTGGGTCATCACCCTTGTAGGTCTGCATATGGGCCTCAAACATTCTACAACAGAGAAAAATATGCACATAATACATTAGGGATAATTCCTAAAAGCAAAAGATGTATTTTATGTAATATTTATCATTTATATGAAATTGAATTTATATTAAAATTGAAGTTATAAATAACAATTCAAATATTATATAAAAATTAAAAGCATTTTCACTCAGAAGTGGTCAGAAAACTCAGAAACAGTGTTTTTCCAGAAGAAAGCAAGACCCAAGGCCTCTGACATTAGTCCTTTAAAGAGGTGACTGGAAGAGGGTCCCCAGCTCTATCCCAAGATAGAGCTCCTCCTTCTCTCACTGACCCCATTGTCACTACCACCATCATGAGTTTGTGCCACCAGAATTTGCTGCAACTCCTTACACCCAGGAGTGGCACTGACTCAGGCCCCCTCTCCTTGCTGCTGCCCAGGAGCAGGGCTGAGACACAGTCAACCAAACAAGGTTCTAAGAGTGAATGCTGTGTGAGAGCCCAGGCATCACCCATCGGGGTGTCCAGACAGAATGCGTTTTCAAAGCCTCAGTGTAACACGATGTGCCTGAGGAAGAACACAAGATGGCAAAGCTCATAAGTCAGCAACTACAGCACCTGGAGAGCTTTGCTCGCCTGTATTTGAATGTACCCAACCACAGCTTTAAAAAAAAACCCAACCAGGCAAGGCAAGTTCTCCATGGGTGTTCAGTTACTAGCAGGGTAAACAAACATGTAAAACAATGTCAGGTAATATCAGGCACTTAGGGGGGAAAAAAGGGGGGGGAGATGAGTTAAGAGTGTAACAAGGTTTCAGTTTTTAGGTAATGTCCAGGAAAGGCCATTCTGTCTGAGGGGCTTACAACATTTGATGGATCAGTGTCAGGGAGCCATGCAGCTGTTTAAGTGTGCTGGGCTAGGAGAAGAGTAAGGTTGACAAGATATACTTGGCATTTTAAAACATCCACTCTGTCTCTCTAGGAGAAGGGGTGAGGAAGAGAATAGAAGTGGGAAACCAGTGTTAGGGAGCCACTGCAGAGTCCCAGTGAGTGGCGAGCTGGATCAGGCTGGGAACAATGCAAGTGTGGATTTGGGGTGTTCTGGAGAAAGAAACAATGGGACTTATTGATGGGATTACATACTGGGTATGAGAGTCAATCTAAGGAAGACTTACAGATTTGCTGAGAGAAATTACGTGATCTTTTGAAAAAATAGGGTTGAAAGCAATACTTTCTTCTAGCCATCATGTCAGTATACTAATGAAATCAATGTTTCTTATGACTCAAAATCTAGAAGCCACAGAAGAAAAGCTGGATAAAGTCAACTATACATACATAAAAAGCTTCTACATGTCACATAAACAAAACATGAAGCGGAGTCAAAAGAGAAATGATAAATGGAGATAACAAAATAAGGCCAGAATTTGGGAAAAAAGAAAAAGTCAATTAAAAAAAAGGAACAAAAGGCATTCCACAGAAAAATACTCAACTTCTCTTATAAGAAAAATTCAACTCACAGAGATACAATTCCTCACCTGACTGAAAACACTAAAAGAAAATGTGACAAAACAGCATATAGGTGAAAACAATGGGAAATAGGCACTCACATCTTGCTTGTGAGAGTGCTCTCAGTCTCTGCCAAGGGAATTGGTAATATCTACCAAAATTACAGATGGATTTACTTTTGATCTAGCAAACCCACTTCAGGGGATCTAGAAGACAGATACATCTATATAGTGCAAAATATCACATGTACATGGTATTTCACTGAGACACTATTTGTAACAGCAAAAGACTGTCAACAGCCCAAGTATCCATTGATGGGGGCCTTTTCAGATCAATTACAGTACAGGAAATATACATTTGTAAAAAATAAGAAAGAGCTCCATATATTGACAGAGATCTCCAAGGTTATTGTTAAGCAAAAAAAGCAATGTACATACTCTACTTTTTATGTGAGATAAAGGCAGGAACTGTGTATATATATATATGTACACACATATATAGACATATCAATATAGCATTATATCACTTATACACACATATGTATACATGCATAGACATAATTAATATATTGTAATATAAATATTCCTGCAAAAAGAAACACTTGAAAAATAAAGAAATTAGAAAAATGGTTCTATATGAAGGGGTGGGAGTATAGACAGATATAGATCTCAGTGAGTTTTTCTAAATCTCTTAAATCAAAAAAAGTATTTTTTAAAAATTAAAAAAAATACTTCTGAATTTTAATCTTCCTTTCATGCCACATAGCAGATAAATCCCTAAATGGCATAACTTTTCTGCAGAAATATATGTAATGATAGACTAGCCAAAGTAAACACTTCACGTTCAAATACCAGCCACATTTCCCTAGTAATACTAAATAGCCTAAATAACACCGTTAAGTTGATACTGAAACATCCTGTTCGGACAGCGAATCAGAATCTAGAAAGCCAAAATAAGGTCAGAAATACTTGATTTCCCCTTTAAAATGGGGGAAAACAAGCTTGTAAAAGTGAACTAGTTTGCTACTAGATTAAACAGATTTTTGTTTTGACTGTACCTAAAGATCTCCCTCTTCTGGTCCCAGAGAGAATACAGTTACCCTGGTGCTGATAAAACCGGTCGGTTTTACTTCCTGTCATATATGACTGCTGTTTCAAGTGCTTTTGAAAGCAGTCTGGATAAATCACCTAAGTCATGAAGCAAAGGCGTGGGAAATTTCGTAACTGTTAACGGGTTGACGTAAATGACAACAGTAAGTTTTTATTGTTCTTTTTTCCTTAAAATGTACGTTACGTAAAGATTTTTAAAAGCTGACTGTGGGATTAAGGGCAAGGCAACTTTCAGTGCCCTCCCTACTGTCCCAGCATTCTTAGAAGTGGCTTCGAAGGCTTCAGTGAAACCAAGTGCCCGCGAGGTTCAGGGTTTCTGCTGGGTTAGATTTTTTTCTCCCGCAGAGTAAACGAGACCTCTGAAGGCCTCACCGATTGCCCAACTCCCCCAAACTGCCACTGAGGCCGCGGCCCCGCAACGAGGGCCGGGGTCTCGGCGGAGGGCACCCGCCACACGGCTCCCAAGGGGCCCACAGCCTGGCTGGGGTGAGGCGCGGGGACCACCTCCGGAGCCAAGGAACTGGGGCAGGACGGGGCGGGCCGAGCCGCCGGCCGCAGACCGCCAGGCGCGAGCCCGAGGCGCCCCACCGCGCTAGGCGGCCCGAAGCCGGGATCGCGCCTCCGTCTTGCCCAGGTCCCAGCAGACCTACACTTACTGAAATACATTTTCCGGGTTATCCATGGCTGGAGAACGCTGGCCAGCAGCAGCCCCGCCGGAACCTAGCGAGTAACCGCCGCCGATTCGAACTCCTGCACAGCCGCAGTAGTGGCGACGAGTGTTTGCAACGCGCCTGGCCATTGGCCCTAACTGCAGTCAGGCTGGCCAATCGCCGAGGCTGCTGGCTGGAGGCCTTTGTCCCGCCTCCCTCCTCCCGCCGCTGGCCCCTCCCACTCCTCTCTGCCAGGTTGATCGCGAGGCTCCCGGCTGCCTGGGGAAGGGCTGGGTCTTGGGGTACGGCGCGGCGAATGGACCTTAGGATTTCGGCTTAGTGACCACAACGTGAGAGCACGTCGATAGGCTCTTCGGGGCCGGTTTTGTAAGTTGCATCTGGCGTATGGAAGTGATGAGCTGGTACGCTTGCAAACCTCTGCGCTTGATTGAACTGATCTGAAATGCTGTATGGTGGTGACCCGGTGCGGTTCCTACACCCAAATGGTAATTCAAATAAAACACAAGAGTTTGGATAGATTAGAGAATGCCAGCGAGAAAGCATTCCACATCTATAGAAGTAGGAACTCCAGAGGCCAAATTCTCAAGAATTATAAAACCAAAACTAAAGAGACCTCTTTGTAAAGGACTCCAGATGTCTGAGAATAAATATGTATTATCCTGATGCTTCCTACCTGAGAGTGAGTTGGAGGAGGGTCAGCTTAGCCTTCTCTGTGCCTTGGTCGTTGATAACTTCCCGTTCTACCTCTTAAAGTTGTTTCAAGAGCCACTTGGCAATGCACGTAAAATATGAAGAACAATTCATGTGATTAGCTTCTTTTTAGAGAGGCTGTGTGGGTGTTTCACTAAGGGCCCTTAAATTAAATACCTTAAAAAAAAAGCAGCTCCTGGAAATCCTGATGCTCGAAGAATCCAGAATTTCTTCCAGAGTGTTAATCAATTTGTATCTACACAAGAAACTGATTTGTGTGGCTTATTACTCAGAGGGTGCTCACTCTGGAGTCTTTAGGTAAGTATTAGGTTCTGCTTACCATCACAGGAATTAGCACATTTTGGGTCTCATTAACTCAATTTTCAACTTGTAGCTGATACAGACTCAGTCATACTTTAGGAAATAGTAATTGAGCATCCATCATGTACTAGTTGCTGTTGGATTTATACATTATAAAATTGCGTAGATTAGTTAATGTATATACATTAGATAATTACAGCCTTGTCTAACTCATATTCTGTGTTAAACTAGTGGTTTTGTCTGGGAGATGAAGATACAGTTATATTAAACCGTTTAAAGGTGGTATATATGTTTATTAAGTGCTAAAGTAGTGTTCAACCTACCTACCGGGGGAGCCCATAGAAGGGAGGGGAAATGGGTACTGTATCAGATAAAGCTCCATGGAGAAGGTGGGGCTTGAATTGGCCCCTTCAGTAGGGCATAGGGGTGTATCTGAGTCAGTGAGAGCCTGGAGAGGTCATTCCTGGTGTAAATCAGGGTTATTGAAGAGATCACCCTTGAGGACCCCTGTTAATGAGTAGTGGAGATTTCTTTTTCAAAGACTGGGTAGTTTCATGTCAAATCTTAGTGCTAGACTAAGGAGATTGTACTTGATTATGATAGCAACTGGTCCTTTTGGGAATAAACAGGGTTTTGGTAGTAGAACCTCATGGCAGGTTTACTTAACTCTATCCTGTTTTCTTAAAGCCACAGATTATCTTTCCTCCATTTTGTTACTTCCCACCAGGCTTGTCATTGTGTAGGGTAAAGTATTCCAGATGCCTCTTCCACACTGCCCCTCAAAATAGGTCCAGTGATCCCATATAGAGTTCTGATGCCAGCCACTGTGGGTATATCCTGGAGTAGGGTTGTCAGCAGTGATTAGAAATTGATATGTTCCTAGGAATAATGTTCAGCCTTACTCAAGGACTGCCATTTCTCCTTACTTAATGTAAGGCCCTCTCTGCCAATATTCTTATACTGAGGGAGAAATGCAGTATGTTCATCTTAATGTCCCTATTAGATTAATTAACCTGGTAGGATTTACTGAGTATGGGTTCAGGGAGGGGCAGTAGAGTCAGAGAACAGTAATTTGCAGACTTAAAAACTAGGGTTGATTGAGGCAGAGGGAATAGAAGGTAAGGTAAAATCAGATCTCATGGAAGGAGAGTTCTCAGTACTCTTCAATATATAAGGAAAAGAAAGATAATTCTGGAGCCTAGGAATTGACAGTAACAGGCTTTGAAGCTGGGGAAAGCTGCTACTTGGTTTTTAGACATGGTGAGTAGGAGGGTTTACCAGACATTTGTCCTCCGAGATAACAAGAGTAGGCACAGTGGAGGAAGAAAGAAACAGACCTAGTTTAAAGGCTTCAAGAGCTTTGCAGGAAGTTCGCTGTGCTGTTTCCTAAGTCTCCATTCTCAAGAATCCAGAGAACTATGAGGCCAGAGAGAAGGTGACAAGTTTTTATAGAAAATAGACAAAAAACAAAAACAAAAAACGATCAAGGGACAAGGAAAACATTTGATCAAAGATTGGGCCCCTGGATAGCAATGGACTTCTGGGCAGATACAATCTTTACAAGAACATGAAACGTCGATAGGCTCTTCGGGGCCGGTTTTGTAAGTTGCATCTGGCGTATGGAAGTGATGAGCTGGTACACTGATATAATCTCCCTGAATCAGTAGCACCCAGTTTACTGAGGGAAGTAATGTTATTAGACACCAATTAATTTAAACTGCTGCTGGCATTTACCTAAGCTGCATTTCTATTATATGAGGCTTGCTGCATTGTCTGCTATGTTGCAGTTGCTGTTCCTGCTATAATTACACTAATATTTTCATCTTGTCTCCTTGTATCTTTGCAGTCCCCTTGCTTTTGCATGCTGATGCACTCACTGTATTACACTTTCTTTCATTTAATTAGAACTGACTTGCTTTTCCATCTGTTGCACTTTGCAAATTGAGTACTGCCTTAGTCTGCACAGGCTGTTTCCCTGGGCTGTTTGGATCACTGAGCAATGCTTCGTTGCTTCTGCTTCTCTCTTTGGAGAGGTCGTGGGCCTTCTGATTCTCTATAGGGACACCCAGATGACGGCCCTTTGTTTATTGAACCTATTGCTCATTTTGATTTCCTGCTGGGTAACCTGTGTGAACCATTCACCTCACTTGACCCGTCCATTTTCCTGATTATATCTGACCTTTGGATCTCAGTGTCCTCCCAGGTTTTACATCCAGCATTCTGGGAGTAGCTCTTTATTCAGTTCGCACACGTATGGGATGAAAAGGAAAAGAGAGTATAACCCCACAGGAAACAATAGACATCTGTAATTCATATGTTAAGTATTTCCTGTAGTAACCACTTAATCATTCTGTAATTCATATGTTAAGTATTTCCTGTATTAAACACATCAAGCCATACTTGCATTATAACAGTTTCAGCAATTGTCAGCATTTTCTCATTCTTTAGCTACTTTCACGTTACTGGGCATATGCTGTACATATTCTGCTTAGACCCAGTAGCCTTGGCAAGGGTTTGATGACATTAAAAATTTGAAATCAATTTAGACTCCACAGAAATCAGTTTGTCTTCCTTTATTCCCAATTGCTAGCCTCTTTCATTTTTCTGAAGGTGCATCTTCATCAGTATCCCTCTTCTTGGACATTAATTGATATGTCATGGTACATTAATTGGTACATACTTGGAAGAATACCGATGACTTTAGAGAGAAGCTAATAAATGTATCTAGATACTTTGCATCATAATCAACAGAAAACCCAAATCAAGCTAGCTTAAACAACAAAGAAAATTTATTGGCTCATTTAAGTGAAAAGTCTGTAAGTAGGTAGTGGGCTTCAGGTGCAGTTTGATCAGGATTCCTTCTCCTTTCCCTGCAGTGTTCTCAGCTCTGCCATCTCCCTTTATTAACTCTACCTCAGGCTAAGTTGCTTCGTGGTAGCAGAACTATTGCAGCAGTTCTTACTCCACAGTGCCAGGTAATCTGGCAAACGTCCCCTGTGTCACTGAACTAGTGAGGTCACATGCTTTCCCCTGAGGCCTCCTCTGAATCACATGGACATATACCCAAAGAAATTCAGGGGCTTGGGAAGTTCAGTGGGAGCATGGCTGGGAAGGCAACCAACAGATGTCTAGTCAGTCAGTTCCTAGCAATCAGAACTCTGTCACTTGAAAAGGAGATTTGAAAACCATTGGAAATCAATGGCTCACACTAGCTGTCTGCAAACTGCTGGCCCACATTTGTTTCAGTCACTAACTGGTGATTCTCTTTAGCATGTGCTGGAGATAACCTCCTTGTGACCCAGAAGAATAATGAAAAGAACAGAACTGTGGTAAAATAAATTTCTGTTGCTTAAGCCACCCATCTTGGGTACTTTGTTATATTAATCCTAGAAAACTATACTGACTCCAGGTTGGCTATGTTTCTTAGACCCCAGGTATTAACTTCTAAGTGCTAGTTGTTTTCCTGACACCAACTTTTCAAAGTAAGTGTATGAAAGTCTGACAGGTCAGGACACTTGAGGGAAGTTCCCCAGCTGTTGGTGGAATGCAGGTCTGCTAGCCAGATCATCTGTTCCTTATGAACCAGTTTCTTCAGCGGGAGAAAGAAAAACAGCTTGCGACAGCTGAGAGTTGGCCTGGCCCTAACAACTCTGATGTTCTGCAGATGACTTTGCAGAATATTCATATCAAACAAAGCCAGTCTTGGAATTTCACCTGCTTCCTAGCAGTGTCCAGTCCAGGCAAATGCCTTCTTCTTTGAACCCTTCTGCCTCACCAAACACAAGCCCAAATCCTATAGGTCCCTTCCAACACTTATTAGGGAAATGCCTTACAGTTCCCCATATTATGCTGTCTACCATGTGGCAGTGAGCCAATAACCTAACCTTGTTCCTAGTTGTCTTTTACTGAAAGGCATTAACAAGTTTTGCAGATCTTGGATTTAACACACATACACACACACACACACACACACATGATATTGACATATATCATACATATGATACATATATCCCAATCTTTTTCTATCAGTCAACAGGGTCAACTCACCCCGGGGCCGGGCAATATGCACAGTTTAATACAGCTCTACACACTTACATTTTTA